TCTTACCACTGCACAGTGCTGGAATATCAAGTCTATCATTGATTGACATCTGTATTTTAATTCTGCATAAATTCAGTGAGGTTTTGGAAAATTTTCTACTTCATTGGTATGAAACATGTACCAGTAGTGAACAACTAACTGTTTGGTTCATCTCCTCTAACAACTAAATGAACCTCTCTGCAGTCAGTGTGCATGGAGAGAATATGTTTTCTGTGCTAAATTCAAGTGTTTGACTTCCAGTCAATTCCTTCTCTGACTGGATATTCTTTTCTATGGATCCTCAAGAGAACCTTTCTTCATTTTCCCTGTGAATGATAAATTGGTTTTCTGTAACATTTAGGCTGTCAGTCCTGAACAATTACGGGTTTTTACTCTCCACTGATGGCTAAAAATGTGCTAGTACAAGGAGAAGCTCAGAATGTTTTAGAAAAACTAGAAGTCCAAATCCATAATAATAATAATTATTATTATTATCACTATGTAATTATTAACTATAATTATATATAATTATATGTTCTTGTATATAAGTATGTATATAATTATATATATTTGTTTTCATCTTTATTTATTACTATATTGACTATATTAATACTTATTATGTTTATAGATATAATAATACTGTGAATAAAAAGAAAAAATGGAGTAGGATGAATGAAGCCAGTAATCACTGCAGTGACTGCAGCAAAACTGGCCACAGCCAAATATGTCACTGCAGAATTCAGTGACTTCCTTTATCAATGCTAACAACAATTTAATGTAAATTTGCAAACAAAAAATAAAATTATTCTTGTGCCAAGAAATCTAGGTCAAACTGTCTTCCTACATTTTCACCAGTAAGAAGGTTTGTGTTCATGTAGACCATTGCCCATTGAAATCGTTACCCAAATAAAGCACTAATACGTTTGCTATCAGCACATCAAGAAAGAATCTCTGAGGATCCTTATCAGTGGGAGCATAATGCAAAAAGAAAAAATAAATAAAATCCCAGCCCCACCTTTTAACACTAAGGTCTTCTAACACACCCCTTCTGGGAGTGTGTGTACAGAGATTCCTCACTAGAGTGGAGATGCCCCTCAAGGTTAGCCCTCGAGGCTGAGTGAAAGATATCTGCCCATGGTCATTGGTATGGGTTAGTAACATAAATCTCTACTTAAAAATTATTTTTCTACATTTTAAATCATTAATTTAATAAACAGTATACCATACTAATAGTTATAACTATATATACTGCCTAGTGTAAATTACTTTTACTAAAGTTTTTTAGTCTGATCATTTTCACAATCAAATTAAATCAATAATTTACTTTTTCCCTATAAATATATTTGGGGTTTCACTCTTAATCCTGTGGGATGAAATCATATAAAGGCTCAATTACACCTCTATAGTTCTTTCAGCATAAACCGTGGACTAAGTATGGGGCTAAAACTGGATGCAGATGCACTTTGGGTTCTCTCTGAGAAGGACTTTAGAAAGCAAGGGGGTCTCTTCTGCACCTCATGACTCAGTGGGAGGGTTTCTTTAATAAACTTTGTCAAAAGCTTCAATTCTCCCTGTGACAAATAGCAAGCAGAGAGACTATGAAACATTTCCTCCAGTTATTTAGTTGCTTGAAAATGTCAAGGTCGTTGTGAAGTCATGGCTAGTACTGATATTCTGGAAGTTACCACGTGGCTGAGGAGCTCTTCTGATGGATTTTCTGAGTTTAGGCAACTGCAATTTTTTAGTGAGTCAGGCTGCCTCTCTTAATCACAATTCTAACAATCAAGGCAAATTGAACTGATAGAAACTTGCTTGTCAGGATATAAATCTTGCTTGGACTCTTCACTCTTTTTCTGTTAGACAGTATCCTCTTTTTCTCACAATGTGCAGAATTGCGAAGATGGTGGAAGTTTGGAAAAATTCCCAGAAGAGCACTGAGGGAACAATCAGAATTGTCAAGTTAAGATAAAGAGAATAGAACTCTGATCCTGTCAACATTTTGAGTAAATATGAGAGATGATGAACAGGTAAACCAGGTAGTCCAGAGTTTATATTAAATTCTATAACTGACTCATCTCCTACTGGTGGCAAATTTTCCACATATTTTCTTCAATCTTTCTTTTTAGCACTGCTGTTGCTGGTGCTGTGAGCAAAAGATCAAACTATGACAGAGAGGCCCATAAAAAATTTCAGCTTGCCATGAAGGTAGTAGTGATGTGTAGCAGCATAAAGTGTTTGTGGACTTCACTTGATATCAAGAAAATGGAAATCAAGGAGACTTCACTGAATATGAAAGAAAAATTAAAAACTACAGACCAGGAACTTTTTGCTGATGACCTTATAGTCCATTTACTCAAAGTGCCTTGCAGAATTAAAGGAAGTGAGTTTTTTATATATATATATATTTTCAGAGAAGAGGGATCTAACCTATCTATCTAGCTTGAAACATGTTTGAATAATATTTAAATACTATTTTAATTCAGTTCCTTGAATCAGTGATGACATTCCCAATTATTAAAATGATTTTTAAAAGATCTGTACATAACCTTGAACTTTTTGCAAAGAATAGATTATGTACAAATTAAAATGTACTGAAGCATTTTGTTGTGAGTATAACAGCAATTTTACACCACCTCTATTGTTATAAGCAGCAAGCACTGAATTTATCACATTGCTCACTATAAAAACTAAATGAGTATTAGCTATGATCTTCCAGCGAGCGGAAAATGTTCAAAGGATTTGATTCCTTTATTAAAGTATAGGGAAAACCAACTAACATAGTTTTACCTTGGTTTTATTGCAGATTCTGTGAAAAAATAGAGAACTGGCATGCTTATAACATCTCAAATATCTTGGAGAAAAAAACTGAATGGAGTGGGAGCTGCTAATATTGTTTTTATTAACATACCCATAAGCAAACAATTCAGGAAAAATATATCTTTTTTAAAGATTCAATGTTATAATTTCTGCCAGCATGGATTGAAAAAAGGCCTAGAATGAATCCTGCAGCAGGAGCAGGGGAAACTAGTCTTGCTCCTTTTAATATTTCTAAGTAAAAAAAGTTTTCTTTTAAAAGTTCCTGACTCTTCTGTTCATGTCTCCTCTGCACATAATAATAAAATGTTAGCTGCAACAGTCCAAATCATTTTCTTTCCTTTACACATCAACTATTTATAAATTCAAAAAACAAACTATGATTTCACTTCTTGAAAAAAAGCTATATTCATTCAAGCATAGCAAAAGCATTTATTTGACTTTGGCAGCTATCATTGCTTTCCATCACAGTAGTTTAGCAGCCTCGATATGTCTTTAATATGTTTGCACGTTGAAAGTGAACTTCGGCAATAATAAAAGGGTAAGGATTGCTACACCATCTCTTCTGTCATCCTGTATCTCCTACTGCCTCACCACTAGGCAGAAGGAGGACACCCAGGAGATGGGGAGCAATGGAACTAGATTTATATTCCAGGTGCCAGGCGAATCTCTTCCCAGCCTATTCACCTGCTCAGGTGTCCTTATACAATAGGTATAAGGCTCTGGAACTTGAAGGCCAGGCACATAACAATCTAGATGAAGGTCCATCCAGGTTTGTAATTTGGTCTGAAGCTTCTCTGCAGTACTGTATTAATCTTTGTCTTTTGGTAGAGAATAATTCCCAGTTTCCCAGAAGTAAAGAACTGACATGTAAAACCTCTGCCTGAAGTATTTCTCCCTGAATTTTCTGTGATGCATCTGCTTTGTACTTGCTTTATCAGAGATTCATGCCAGCTAAAGAGTATCAACTACAGGTGATGAGGGGATTCTAACTCACCTTATGTTAAGATCTATGTCTGTTCGGTTATCTCTTTATTGGCAGATTCAAAGGGGTCAACATTCCTTTCAAGTCAAATAGTTCTGATAAATGTTTAGCAAGGTCCCTAATATGATGTGCTAGGTATCACTGGCTATTTATGTGCTATTGAAACATTTTGTAACCACAAAAATACAGAACACATAGCAATATTCCATGACAAACTCTCATACTAATGACATCTGTTATGAAAAACTACATAGAAAGATTGCTGATAAAAGTGCATAAAACATACAGCTACATGAAAGCTTTGTCTGTAGTAACTGATTTTATCCTACTGTACAACAAAAAGCAATATGGCTAGGGCAAGCACAAATATTAAACCATTGATCCACCCTTTCCAGATTTTTGAAACTGAAGTTTTGTCCTGGATTGCAGATACTTCCACAGGCATCCTAAGACATCACAGTAGGCAGCAGTATTTCTCTGAAACTACAAGAATATTCTACCACTTATGAAAGTTCCCAAACAGTTGCCAGTTACTCCATAATATATAACATATGCATTCTGAGCTGCTTATAACATGGACTAAGAAAATGCTAAAGGTCATGGATTTTCTACATTGTGAAGACATTTATAAGCAGACGTATTATCTCTGTCTTTTCCCAGTCGAATGATGCATCACTGTAGCAATAAACCAAAATGCACCAGAACCATGCCTTTCCAGTTAGCTCAGCGAAACACTGCATTCAGTTTGTATTGCTCACAGCTAACCTTTCAGTGCATCTGTTTCCAGGTCATCTCAGATCAGTAATGGTGCCAGGAGAATGCATGCTAAACACCCATAAAATTAAAAATTTTTGAAATACACTTTCTTATAAAGTATACAGAACTTTTTTTTCCTTTTATAGATATATTCTCAATAGAATTGCCTTGATGGAGGGATTGAGTCAACCCTCTGGCTCCTCCAGGCTTGTTCAACATTCTGAAGCAGGTTGTTTGTTATAATCAATTGTGTGAAACATTTATCGAAAATTGTTATCAAACAGATGTCTCAAAACATCTCATAACATCTATTAAGTCATCAAAGGCTACAGATTTTAATTGAAAATTAAACTGAAAATTATGAACATGCAGTTGTCTCTCTCCTAATAACTGAGGAAGAGTTCACCAGTCACAGTTGATCATGTGTTCTCACTAAAGCTATTGTATTAATTATTTATTGGTAGGACTAATTCATACTGCAGATGCTACAAAGTTAAAAGAAGTGTCTCTTATCACCAGTTTCTCTGAAAGATCTGAGAACTTCAGCTTTCTTAGACAATGACTTGGTAGCATTACAAAGACAGTCTGCCTTCTCTTTTGTTCTTTTTGTCCTTGACAAACTTATTAAATTGTGTCTTCCTTTTGTGTGAGCTCTAATTCATCCACTCTGAAGTTCCACACTTCCAACATTAATACCTTGTGTATTGGCAAGAGTCATTCAAAGCAAAGTCAAAAGAAGAAAGACTTTAATTTTCTTCACCTGCCTAATTGGAACAACATGATAATTTGGCTGTCATCAGATTTAATCAAACCAGATTACATTCAGGTGTCATGCGACCTTCCTGGGTCTTCATCTTAGGAAGTCACTGAAGTGAGAGGCCCAGGAATAAGATGATCACTGCCTTGTCAGCCAGTTGCTTTTTCACTGGTGGAAGTCTAATTTAATTCCAAATACAACTGCTCAGCCTATTCATGAATCTATAATGAAAGACAACCAAAAGCCTCTTAAAGAAACATGAGTTTCCTTAAACATGATTTGAGAATTCATCCAGCCCAAATAATGACACCCCTCCTTCTGAATCCCTGAACAGCAGAAAAAAGCATATTTAAAGTCTTTCAAGACCACAAACATCAGTAACTAAAATCTATTCCTCCTCTTCCGCTTAATATCAGATCCCAAAGTCTGTGAGTATTTTTATCCTGTTCTACTTGAAATATAAAATCACAGTTAGGGATATGATGACACATTGTTTTAGTTTAACAAGATTACAACTTCGAAATTAAAAGGCTTCAGATGAAGGTGTGGAAAAGGAAGAGAACGGCTCTTTACTAACAAACCCGAATAAAGAATAATGGCGCAACCAAAACTTTCAAAAGAAACTAAACAAAGTCCTAATTCCCCGGGAGGGGGGGGGGGGGGGAAGAAGCCCGCAGCAAACGAGGGAGGCTGAGGGCGAACTGTCCCCGGCACCCCAACAGCCGCTCGCAGCCACGTGAGCAGCCGGTGACGTCGCAGCCAGCAATGAAAGAGTCCCTTTTTTCCCTCAGGCGCAGGGCTATGGTGCGGTAGGCAGGCAGTCGCCGCGGTAAATTTGCCACGGCCCGGGGCAGAATACCTCGCTCCTAGATAATCGGTCTCTCTCCCAGTCGTTCTCCACGCGGTGTCCGGCGAGGAAAAAAAAAAAGGAGAAAGAAAAAACAAAAAACTTCTCCTCAGGAGGAAGGGGCGGCCGAAAAACCGAGAGTGGCTCTCACTCTGTCGGACAGCGAACAAGTCCTCCACAAAAAGGCGTTTCCGAAGTGTCGCGCTGACCGGCTTTTAAAGGGAACCTCCCCCCCCCCCGCGCTGCCCCGCGTGTGCGGCCCCGCTCCGTCCCCTCTTCTTCCTCCTCCATCCCGGAGAAACGGATAAGGGGGGCGACCGACACTGGGAAAAAATTCCAACATCTCTTTTTCGAACCTATAACACACTTACTCACCCTTCGCTCCAGAATACCACAAGAGCAAAGAGACTGACCTCTTCAAGAAGTGATTTCAACAGTAAAGAGAACATGGGCAATGGCAAGTTGGATATGAGTCAGCAGCGCCCTGGCAGCCAGGAGGGCCATCTGTGTCCTGGGGGGGGACATGAGGCACAGCATCGCCAGCCAGATGAAGGAGGTGATTGTCCCGCTCTGCTCTGCACTGGGGTGGCCTCACCGTGAATTATTGTGAGCAGTTTTGGACACTGCAATATAGGAAAGATATTAAGCCATTCGAGAGCGTCCAAAAGAGGGCAACGAAGCTAGTGAAGAGCCCTGAGGGGAGGACGTATGAGGAGAGGCTGAGGTCATGGTATGGGGCGGATCTAATGTGTTTCTTTCAAACGTAATTCAGTGCCTTCATGTCAAGAGGCAGATGATATTTGCTGCATAAAGTGATTTAGAATAAGTTTCTTTTCAATAGTAACATGAAGTACGGTGTTGGATCTATCATGCAAGATACATACATACATCTATATATATATAAGTATAAAAATGAGATTCAGGTTCTGGTTTTAAGAACACTCAACTACAAACAAGTAGTAGTTTAATATTTTTAAGGAAAAGTTGTGTAATGAGATTCTAATTTGAAAAAAAAAGGCTAGGTGAATGTACACATGCCAGCAATGTTTAGATTTAGTGCAAATTTTATTCTGCATCATCTGAATGAGTCCCTAATGAAATTAAAGGAAATCTTGGATTCAACTTGGCTTCAACAGGATGAAGATATTTTAACTAATTTATAAGTTTTTAAACTCCTTCTTAACTCTCATTCATTATAAAGTGTTCAAGCAGCTTTTCCCAAAATTGCAAGATCTCTTACCTTCAAGAAAGTAAACTTTCATTTTAATGTCACCAACAAAAACATGGAAGAAAGTTACAGAAAAGTGCAGTTTAAAGGAAAATGCAGAGAATAGTTTCTCCAGAGGTTAGAAAGATACATATTTCCCTGCAGATAGTTACCTTTGCTGACAAGTAGCCCAAGTCTGTTGTGGAGGATTTAAGGTTTTCAACTAATGTGGCATCTGAAGAAGACTATCAGTCCTAACTGATGTTCAGGAACATTTTTGCAATTACATATTGTGATCTGGAATTTATATATGAACAAATTTCCTTCCAAGCAACATTAATAACAATGGTGGCCATTGTTGACTCCCAGAAGGCATGTGGACTGAATAACATCCTCGTGCTCCTGTCCATTTCCTGATTTCACTGCCCACAGACTCATGTTTTTAAAAAGGCAGCAGTTGCACTTCACTAGACTTACTACTGCACAGAAGCAGCCATAGCAGAAATCTTAGTAGTGTTCCTTTCTGTAACCCAGATCTCCTAGGATAAAGTCACAATGTGGAATAAATTTAAAGCCCTGCTGGAACAAGGTCTTGGAATAGGAGGGATTTTTCTGTCACTATCTGAGGTATCATGGAGCTTGTCCAAAAACTCTTGTTCACAGTCTTAAATCTGTGAGAAATTTTGCAGGGATGCTTACATAGCTGCTTGTGTGTCACTACCCAGGACTCTGAAAGGTCATCTTTATAATAAAGAATTGCAACATAATGGCAACATAGCAAAAAAAAATACTATTTCCTATTCTCCGGTGAATTAAGAATGAAAATTAATTGTACTGTACAGTTGCCATTGTTCTTATGTGCAGGACAACTGTTAAAGGGGCAGCATTATCTATTTTACATCAGTCCCATCCTGATATGCTCTACTTTTTAATTTGATAAATATATGAGGCACAGTTTGCTTCTTCTCTTTGACTTATCATTGTCAAAGGATATATGATATGTAATTTCCCTTTTATAAAACAGCTGGAGTTATTACACCTCTTGCAAGTAATGTTAAATTAGAAAACAATAAAAGAGCCACTTCTTTAGAAGCCAAATAAAATGTGTATAGACATAATCCACTCTGAGATTCTGTAAAAACCCACTTGGAATTTCAAAAAACAAACGACAAAACAAACCTAGAAAACATTGACAATGCAGCACAATTCACTGTTGTTGGCTGTAGACCAATGAATATGTGATGGAAAGGGGTAGATATTGAGTAGGTATTGACTTCCACAGTTTCTGCTTTCCTGGGAAGGACAAGTTTTCTAATACAGTTTAGAAAGTTGCTGGAGTTATTGTAAGCATGTAGAAGGGCAGGAGAAGAACTAATTCAACTCTTTGCAAGTGTAGCTTTCCACAACGGACTTCTGATTCTGAATCATGAATCCCATACCCAGAGCGCTGTGATACCCTGACAATGCTACAACATTAGGTAAAAGTTACATCTACAAATATTCTTCAAAATAGTCTATACAAAGCATTGTCGACCATGAAGATTTTACAGTTGTTGTGCATACCGGTCATGTACTAGGTGTTCTCTGATCAAAGTGAAGTCTCAAGAAACCATTATTTATCTTCTGATTAAGAGTGAATTAATGGCTTATAATTAAAAATATATTAGATTGTTTTACTGAACATCCACTGTATTGGTGGGCTCAAAGCGAAAATAGTGTCTAAGTAGGCGGTCAGTGAAGCCTCTTTCTGAACAGAAATCACTGAGATACAAAGAAAAGGAGCACTGAAATAGGAAAAGAAAAATGAGAAAGAATATATACTTCAAAACATGCAAGGCAAAACTTAGGAATTTTGGTCTGGGGCTGATCCCAGTTGGTATTCATGGGATATGGCTAAATCCTTTTTGCTGTAAGCTGTGCTACCAGGTAAGAGGAAAACTCCAACTTAACAGGTTTGGAAGTCGGAGGTCCATCACTAATGCACTTATGAGTAATATGCTGTGTATTTTAGGGGACCCCTGGTGGCCTAGTGGTTAGTATGCAGGACTCTCACCTCTGCGACCCAGGTTCGAATCCCAGCCAGTCCCCTGGGCAGATGGAGCCCGTTAGCCCTGCAAGGCCATCCATCTATGAGAAGGTCACTCTAAAAAAACAAACCTACGTCCTGAGGACCTCACTGCCATTGTCCAAGCTTGCTTGGCCCCGGCAGATGAACCTTAGGATTAAAGGGTGGGCTCAGTTCAGCGCAGGCTGCGTCTCACCTAAAAAATCCATTGCGCAGGCTGGAAAGGTAAAAAGACCTTTCCCCAAATCTTCATTCGCGAAGACTGGCCATTATTATTATATTATTTATGTGTATTTTATTATGTTCCTGCAGCCTGGGAAAATGAATTTGATACAATAGTTTTCAGACAGAGCACTGCCCACAGACTGACTGACAGAGTAACTGCAACACACTGAACTCAGTGAGAGTTCAAAAGCAATTTCATCACAGTTATCTTTGTTTTTCCAAGTATTTGGAGCTATAACTTACTATCTAGTTCATGCTTAATGTGCTGTGTGTATTACAGTCAATAGGTTAAATACTCCTGCCAGGCGTATTTTTACTCAGTTATCTGAAGTAGACTTGAAGAGGGTGGCATATTGAAAGAGCATAGTAAAACACAACAATAAATAATGTATAGTTTCAATAGTTGTTCCTACTGACGTACATTCAAATTTTTATATATTTTCTTCATTCTGTTAAATCTCATTGGCATGGTATGGCAAGATTATAAAATTTCATTATGGGAACAGTTTTTACTTCAATTTTATTTTGGTTTTCTCAATTTTAAGATGTCATACACTGGATTAGAAAGTATTCTCAGTTGATAATGATAACATCATACCCTCACAAACACCTATGCATTCTCTGACCTTAGTGACAAGCCCCAGGACACAAAAGCAGTCAAAGATTCACAAAAAGCTGACTTTCAACAGTATGCAATACAATAGTTTTTTGTTGCTATCTCCGACAAATCTGAATAAGCCATTAGCAACACCTAAAGGTGCAGCTTTCGCTGCATCTAAATTATCGGCCCAGTCATGTGGCTATGTAAACTGCAGAAATTTACTATAAGTTCCAAACTGAAACATTTCTAAAACTGGACAAAGGGAAATTAAAAACCCTTACAGACACAAGAATTTCCTGAGTTACTTTGAAGTTGATGCATAGCATTTTCCTGGCAACTCCCAAACTGAGATTTAAAAGGTACCAATCACAACAGCAGTGT